GATAGTATTTTTATATGAGAATGGCAGGTGGCCAATAAAACGATTTAGCTGGGCCGCTGTACTCTGTATTAACTGAAAACAGCGTGATTGAAACGTGAACAACGAAAAACGTAAATATATAAAGGCACGTACGCACATATATCTACGTATATTAAAAATCTATTTAAATTGAAAAAAAAAAAAAACAGACACGAGAGGGACTTGAACAGGTGTCCACGGCGATCCGTGCTTCTAACTTAAGGATGTTGATTTAGTAATGAGTACCGCAAAACGATCATAAGGTACGAGATTCGAACCCCAACAGTACAATTTGACATATAGAAAATGCAAAAATGACTAATGTTCCCCCTTGTTAACACATTTAAAAATTTCGAGAAGTTTTAATCATTAGAAGGTACTGTCTATAGTTTACGCGAGTAGTACACATTTAAATAAAACACTTTAACGGTTTAAAACGCGATGTATTAGTTAAACTTATTTGAGCCAACGTGTGGTCACTGGGAGCGGGGCCCCCCGTGACCACGGCTCCTGCAAAGCATCCGAAACGTCGGGCCGAAGTTAAAAATCATTTTTAAATAAGTTTAACTAATATATCGCGTTTTAAACCGTTAAAGTGTTTTATTTAAAAGTTTTAACCATTGCAAGCTTTAAAGTGCCGTGGGTTCAGGTCCCGATAGTGTATTTTTTTCCAACTTTAAGTAGGTATCAAATGGAAAAAAAATTTCGACTAAATTAAATAAATATACATGATTCAAAAACTGTTCGCCATATATTAAAAAAATGCACAGGCATGGCTTGAACCCATGACACTCAATAAAATAAGCTTTTTCAAGCTTAAGTAGCTTTATATAACGGATAACAGGAGTTATGAAAATGGAAATACGTGTTTTTTTCTTCAAGTACTTCCTGGTTTGTTATACCGCATTTACGCTTTAATAAAAGCTTTATTTTCGTTTATTGGGCCACTAACCGTGATGTCATTGACACTGAGTGGCGGGAGGTAACCAGAAATTTAAGACTCGGATTTAGGAGCCCTAAAAGTTGAACCAGAGATGATTACACTTTTTCTAAATAGTACTCTTTCTATATTAGTATGAGTACATTGAAACCTTATTCTTAACTTATTGTTTCGAAATGAAATAAGTGAATATTTTAAAAACTTACAAATATTTAATTTTTGATAGCAAAAAAATTTATATTTTGTACTACTGCTTTTTACATTTGTGTTACTTCGTTCGGATGACGTACCTATTCCTGTAACCAAATCTGCCGCAAAGAATCCGTTTTAACCGTATTATTTTTTTGTTTATTTGTGTACTATGCATGACCTGCACGTTCCCATGACATAAATTATTTCATTTTACTCAAGGGTTGCCTGGGAGAGATCGCTTTTTAGCGATAAGGCCGCTTATTGCATCGCACTCTATAACTGGTGAGAATAATGTATCTTTAAAAATTGTATTAAGTAATAAATTAAGAATATTTTTAAGGAATCATGTCTATATAATTTTTTTTTTTTTTTTTTTAACTTTGGTCTAATTTGGTTGAAAATGATACAGTAAAGTTTTAGGAATTCGTGGTTGTTGTATTTGATACAACTATCCGAAGTTCCTTTAAGCGCTAGGTTTTTATTTACAAATGATTCTATGAATAATACATCGCTTAACCTAGAAGTTACAATTAAAAGGAAGCTATCTTTACAAAAGTTTGACAATTTATATAGAGTTACAAATGGTCTTATTTTTTAAAGGAATACAATGTAACCTGTTTTTACTGTTTTATATGATATTTGCAGAGGGCAAAATTATACAATATTGACTTATATGCTAATAGTGAAAGCTAATTTATAAATGTATTGAAATTAGGTGACAAAAGTGACTTAACAGAAATGATCTATGACGTGCAAGGAATACAATACAGAAGGGAACTATTGATAACTATTACAAATGTCCATGATAACATAGTTTTGAGTTATATGTCTATATACTTTGTGTGTGTGTGTTGCAATGAAGAATTAAATAAATAAATAAATACTATCCCGTATAATACAAACAAAAGTAAGATACAAGAACAACAGTATTGAGGTAATATAATTATATACAACCAATAATATACATCCAAGGCTGTGAATTCATATTAAAAAATAAAAAAAAAATATGTTAGAATGATCAATGAGATTACGTTGTTTCTCACGCGTTTGTTTTGACATATAAGGTAGATAATATTGTATAAGATCAAACCTTCGATCTACGATAGAGCTATTTAAGAATAGAACGACATTTTGTTTCCGCTTTTGTAAAGATTACTAAAATGCTTGTTCATACCTCTTGTAGTTGACACTTCTTTTAAAAACAGGCAAAATTGAATGATAAGCGTCGGATTCGTAGAAAAAGTCAAATTCATGACATCAAATTTGATAAGTTATATGTGTCAACATTTCCGATCATTATTCACTCGGTATTTATTTTTTGCAATCTCGAATAACCTTTGCGATTTTTTTTAAGTAATCACACCTTTTAAAAGTTTAATAAAATTTTTAATAAATAAAGAACTAGATGAAGAAAAATAGTAAACAAATAATATCTAATAAAAATATGGAGTGCAATGGGCGGCCTTATCGCTAACGAACGATCTCTTCCATGCAACCCAAGATGAAAGAGGAAAAAGTTTACAGGAAAACGATATGTGCAAGGTGGGCGAAACAAAAATTACAATGTTAAATATAATCAATATTAATAGATAGTGACAATTTATTCAGATGGGTAATTAAGTGACAAAAGTGCTTGTAGAGGAGCCTTTTAAAGGATAGGAGGGAAGGCGTCATACGAATGGAGACGGGTAAGGTATTCCATAACCTTATCGCGGTAATTTGAAATTTGTTTCACCCAGAAATGTAGCGGCACCAGTAGAAAAACTGATCGAATTGACGTAAACAGTTGAAGTGATCGTTTAGGAACACCGAAGTCATTTAAAAAGAGAAATAAAAGAGAAGTTAAATCTTTTTCAGGTCGGATGGTAATTCAATTCACGGTTTATATAATTGAGACAGTTGCGTTAAAACTAGTTATGCCTGTTCTTTTATTCACGCGACTTAGGGCAGACATACCTGTGTCTGTTTTATGATGGTTATAGAGAAATAGTTTATGCTGTACCTATCTCCGGAGGTACTACAGATGCAAGTTGATATTCGTAAATCAATTCAAAAAGACAGAGCCAAGTACAAAAGGTCATTATATAAGAACTGGTTGGTGTTAGAGAAAGCAAGATTGTGCAATGAATTCATGTTTGCCCTTTACCATAGGAAACCGTTAGATTTATGCCTTTTCTATAAAAAGTATAAATTTCCACTACAATAAGTATTTCCGACAGTCAGATGCATTGTATAAAAATAATATAGAAAAAAAAATTAGAAACGGATTACTTGAACTTATATTTTAAAAAACTATAAACACTACTCAAAACGTGCACTATGTCCTGTCTGTAGTTTACGCGAGTAGTACACATTAAAAAAAAGAACACATTTGCCGGTTTCAAACGCGATATATATTAATAAATTCGAGGCTTTCACGGCCGTCGTTCAGCATATCATTGTCTTTTGGGCAGCGAAGGTTCTGAGGTTCTCAGCGCTTGTCAGAGTGTATATAATCTGTGACCGCGGCGGACAACTCATAATTCTTCGAGCAATCGAGGAGATAAACATCTCCTGATGACGTGCGATATATATTAGTAAAACCTATTTAAAAATTATTTAAATAGTTTACCTAATATATATATCACGTTTAAACCGATATTCTGTTTTATTTTAATGTTCACCGTGTCATCTTATACCATAGATATATGATGATATAGTGAACAAAACAGATAATAATATCTTAAACCAGAAACAGGCCGCAATTGTAACTATGCCTTAGGTTTAACCGCTCACATTTCCCTAAAAAAAAGACGTAAATTTAACAGTGACTAATTGGAATAAAAATTAGTATTCATTTGTGACTAACGACGGTGTCATACGCATTACATTTAAATTGTTATCAACGAATACATTACTGTAAATTTCGAGAAACTTGTCAATTGCGGAATAACAGTGTGAGACACAAAAATGCTTTGACCCAGAAAAGTAATTATTATTACAGAAATAGACATCTATACTAATATAATGTATGAAATTTGTATGAAAGAATGAGTTCTCATTAAATGATCTAAAAAAAATGTCCGCGACGGTATATACCTATTATTAAGATTAATTTGCAAGAACGACGAAACGCGAACGACGTCGTGTGTAACAGCTATCATTTTTAAAGATGAAGGGGTTTACAAAAACTTTTGGGTGCCCAAAATTACAATTCTACGCGAACGAAGTCATTGTCACAGCTAGTATTTGATAAAAGATAGAAATGAAAAAAAAAAACGGGGGGGGGGGGGGGTAAAGGGGGGGGGGGGAAAAAAAAAAGGGGGGGTTTAAAAAGGGAAAGGGGTTTTTTTTAAAGGGGTATTACTCGGGGAAAATATAGAAGTAAAGATAATATGCTTTAAAATAGATATGAATCAGATCTGATTTAAAACAACCAAAAAGAGGAGCGCATATAATTCTCCTTTATTTGTTACATTTCTCTGACCGTTAGATATCCTTCTGTACTAGAGAATTGATTCTCAAAACCGAGATGATCATTTACAAGTTATACAAGTCAAAGTTGATCTTATACATCTTATGTTCACTTGCTAGGTGAAAGATCCCAGCCATAACATCTACTAGATTTCGTATTTTTGGCTTTGAGTGGCTTCCACAGAGTGAAACGCTATGAAACTTCACGGCTTTGTCATCCGTGGATGGTGGTTTGTGACCTGAATTGAATTTCGATATTCCTACCACCCATCATCACGAAATATACCAGTAGAACGGAAAGTAACTACTGATGTTATTAAACGTTATGACTATACTCTCAAAGTAGTAACAAAAATAACGCTTGATACCTAATCCACGGTTAGCAAACAGTACTCACGAAATATTGCAGTACGAGATGTTTCTCTCTCACCTCTGAAGTATCAGTAATAGTAGTCCCATGCTCATCCACATATGTCATGTTAATATTCGCGACGGTGTAAGTGTCACTGCCGAAGCGCTCGTCGGCTGGACCATATCTGGTCGACTCCAGTTCGCTTCCCGGCGTATGACATCCCACTAACGTCACTAGCCAGCTGACCGCGAAGCCCGACAAAATGTTTACGAGCATGTTTAGCACATTCGATTCCAAACTCCACTAACGTCTGCGTGGTCGCGTTATTTATCGTTATCGTTATCAGAACGAGACGGCACTATCGTTCATTATATGCGAGAGTTATCGTCGGTACGGACGCAGCCTCCCGCTCGACGGGGTTAGGACATCACTATCTGGTAGTCGACTGCCGCCCCGTAGCCGGCGAGGTACTTCACAACAGCCGGTACCTGAAACAATAAGCGTGACGTTAGTTTGACGTATAACCCAATTAGGTGTTCCGAGTGTCGGACGTCAAGACTCGGTTCGATAAGTGCCGCTGCACACAGGCCATCGCTACAGCAAAGGCCAATTCCTGCTATAATACATTTTGATTTGCGATCATTAGTGTAAACCATGAGCTACCACAGTAAATACAATATATAAAAAAAATAATAATAATGTGTGGCGTGTCGTTTCTGTGTTCGGTTCATGCTTGTAAAAAGAGGACGACACAAAAACAGGTAGGAAATACAGATTGGGGCCTAATTTAAGTTATAAGGAAGAAGAAGACAAGTTTCTTTAAGTTGGCACATTGACTTTTGAAGACGAAAACAGACCTAAATTCTATCTAATATACACGAGTTTTTATCTATCTATACTAATATATAAAGCTGAAGAGTTTGTTTGTTTGTATATTTGAACGCTCTAATCTCGGGAACTACGAGTTTGAATTTATTTATTTTTTTGGTTAGAGCATTTATGGAGGGAGGCTATATATATTGTATTGTCCTTTGACTAATACAACCGAAGAGATAGCGAGATATGTAAAAAAAATTGGGAAAATTATTCATCATTATGGGTTTCCGATGCTGTAAAAACGGTTCAAGATACCCAAAAAATAAGTATGAAAGAATGATTCCTCTTTAAATGATCTAAAAAAAGTCCGCGGCGATATATGTCTATCTTTTAAGATTAACTTGCAAGAACGACGGGAAGGCATGACCGACGTCGTAGGTAATAGCTCAAATTTATAATGATTGAGAGAAAAAGTTTCCAAAAACAAAATTGGATACTCAAAATAATGTTTCTCGTGAACAGAGTCGCTGCCACAGCTAGTACTTTTGTAAAACAATGCTCGAATGATGTTTGTAGACTTACAAAAATAATATTGTCTAAAGCAAAATACATTTTATCAGTATTTGTAAAAAAGTAAACGAAAAACTCGTTATTATTTAACGTTAACATTTGAGAAACCGGTTTCTGAATTTCTTGTTTTCCAGTTATTTATGCAGTTTCACTTGTCAATATACTCATTACTTGAAGTATCAGTGTTATTAACTCTTAATTACCGTTTGGAATTAACCCTCATGTAAGGGATATATGACAACAGTAGCTAAACAAAAATCGCATTATACTTATGTATGTGTAATGATTTAAATATATTTTTTATTTAAATAAAAAACTTAACGGTATAATACAAAGTATATTGAGTTGACCGTGGTCTCGGGGTCTCACCCTGGCTGCTGTTAAACAATCGAAAAGTAGGGCCGTAGTTAAAATAAGTTTAACTGATATATTTCGAGTTTTAAACCGTTAAAGTGTTTTATTTAAATGTGTACTACTCACGTAAACTACAGACAGTATATATTTTTTATTACTCAGGATGTGCCGATTGTAATAATAAAGAATATTTTTTGCACCACCAAGGATTGAATCTCTGACTTCGAAAAAAATTCCAAGCTAAGCGCTCTAGTCAATGTATAAGCCTACTTTGATATACAAAAGTAAATAATCAGACACGATAAAAAGAGGAAAATGATATGAAAAGCGGGTCACGGATAAACATCTAACCAGAAAGGTCGTTGACCCGCGGTCATCGTCCATTGACGTTGTATTAAAAATCAATAATATAATGAATCATTCAAATAAAGTAAATGGTTATAAAGACGATTAAAATCTAAGCATAGACACTTCGCTAGAAACACAATGATAAACTAAAAAAACAAATAAATTGAGACATACTATCCCAAGTAAACACAGAGAATGTATCTGCAACAGAGTTAGGATTATATGTGTATATGAGAATTTAAAAAAATCTATTCAATATATTTAACGGTTTAGAACGCGAATTATATTAGTCATTTTAATTAATACCCAAAGCCATTTAGTAACCAATTTTAGAGAAGTATATATTATTATAGTTTAATGTGTTTATCAAGTTTGTGTTGATTCCATACAATTTGATAGATTATGACATGTTATCAGTCTTTTGTTTTGCCTAATGGTATTTACATAGACAATAGGCATATATATATATTTACACTGTATGTGATTATTCTTGATACCATATAAAGCGATAAATACAACATTTTGAAACAAGATGTCAGAAATTGTTTCTTTCGAAACAATTGATGATATTTCATAGGGTTTTAAACCCTTGTAAAGCAATGTAACATTTAAAGCTCAAACTAGAAAAAATAAACCGTGTTTTTAATTTTCTCTTCCACTTTCAAATGTATTTATTTAATTCACGCAGTAACCGATCTATTTACTTCCGTTTTCCGAAAATTGTAATTTAAATTCGAAAATGAGAACACTCTTGCTACTTAAATCAGCAGTCGTTTTGTTATGCAAATAATATTTGTTAGAATAACTGAATTTTAATTCGGCATAAATTATATTTCCATGACGCGTTGACCTTAATTTTCATTTAAATTCCCTCATTAAGGCTATCAGTGATATTGTAATGCGATTTCCACACGATTTTTTCATCCACTCAGCTTCAGTCACGACAATTTTTATTTTATTAAATCTACATGTATGATTGCCCAGTCACGCTTTAGAGGCAAATATATACATAGTAATTTTATGTTGGTTTCTCCGAAAAAGAAAAACGTATAAACTTACCGCCAGAAGGGGAAATTACCAAAATGGCGGGCTCTTTGACATTTAGACATTTGTCTAATAGTAGCAAAGTATGACTAATAATCTACGGGTCGTTGGTTCAATTTCCACTTCAATATGACACAAATAAATTCTAATTTCTTCTGAAACATGTTCTTAATTTGGTTGCGAAACACTAATGTTGCGAATAAATTTCTTTTAGGCGATGGTACTACACTGTGGGTTTCCGAACGTCAAATGTACAAAATTGGTCAACGGCGCTTATTGAGATACGTCTCGGGAATTTCTCCTTTCATCAGCCCCACGCCTCTCCTCCTCTGGCAGTGCCTTTCCGCCTAATTTGATCACAAAACGTGTCATGCACTGGGCTAATAAGAATTATGGCGGGACTAATGCGAATTTTATACGTCTCCAAATGTTGAAATAAAGAAAGCAGTAAACTATACTACGGATATTGGTCGTGAAATAGTCATAAACTCAACAAAATGGCGCGCAGGAAATTGGGACGGTGTATCGTAAAAGTTAACAAAAGCAAGAGAGGCGATAAGGTGATTTCGGAGGGAAAAGACTGCTTTGTAAACATTTAATTTTAATGTAGTTTAAGATAAAAATAAACTTTAACTTCAAAGTAGTTAGCTTAGAAACGATAAATGTAATTTACATAGTATGGTAATAACATGTCAGATTTATTCTAAAAAAAATATTGCTTTTTGGTCGTTTTGTTTGATTGTTTTTGGTTTATATAATTATGTTATACTTTTTGTTTAAAAAAAATTATCTCTTGAACAATCTTTTATCTGAGAAGATAACATACGAATAAACTACATATAAATAATGGGTTTAGATATATTGTCCTTTTTTGGTTAATATTATTAAAAGGTACTTAAAGCACAGTAGTAGACTACATAAAAGTAACAATATGAAATGTATTAAATGTAGTCAATGAGTACAGGACCCCTAGCGCGGCTCCCATTAGAATTTGGTCGGTTTTAATACACTGAGTGAATCAGTTAAACGAAAACCAGAGTCAAAACATGTAGCCACGTACTTAAGTCTCAATGGGGCTAAACATATACTCGTACACCTTAAGTCATTAATTTAATTCATTACGAAAGGTCTCACGTAGCGAAAGCCGTACGAGAAAATGAAGTAACTCTGTTAATCTTAATTTATATTCCAACGAATGGAAAGGATAACCCGCCTTGCGAAGTTTCAGCATTATCCCGCGGGAATATATCCCCGTTGCTTTGAACTGTGCGAAAGAAAAAAATTACCTTATCATATTTGAAAAGTGACGTATTGCTTGTCGATTTGAGTTCTACGACCGATGGACATTCGAAATTCAAAACAAAACTATTAAGCCGTCAATAAATTTAAATTGATTAAAATTATTCTAATAATAAATAATATTTCGTCGACACAGTATACTAGTACAGTGTTAGATAAGTTATCGCTTTCTTTATTTACTGTAGATAAAGACGAGTGCGAAATTCTTGACATTATTTCCGTAACTATGTGCCCATTTTTGGTGAGTCTTAGCAAGTACAAACATGACTATAGCGCTACAGCTATACGAATATAAATTATTTATTTACCAGATTTTATGGATTTGTCACAATCATAAGTTAGACAATAAATATTCGCTTAAATTAGCAATAATACGTGTCAAAGTAATGTTTCACTTCTACTTTGCTTAAGCCCACCACGCTTCAGTACGGCGGGCAAAATTAACTCATTTGGCATTTAACCGGCACGGATGGAGTAATAACATCAGGCCGAAGTTAAAATGAATGAAAAATAAGAAGTATTCAATTCCGCGTTTTAAACTGTTAAAATGGTTTTTAATCTAGAATAATGCTAGCAAATTCTGGACACTTTATATCGGGCAAGAGAAAGGATCAGACTCCCATTTGATAATTTAGGATATTCATATTATTATTATTAAATTCTCTCACTATGCTTACATTTGAGTGTAAGTAATAAATCTACTAATACAAATTCCATTGACATATGAAAAAAGATGATTATTATCAATAGAGAGATAAAAAATGTTTATATTTATATAAATAGGATTTCTGTTGTTTATTCTGTTTTTATATTATTTTTAAAATAATAATAAAACAACCAGCAAT